AGAGACAGATTGTCGGACTATCGTTTCTCCCTAACCACTATTTATTTCCTATGTGTCAGTGGCTCATCAATGCACCATAAAAGAACCATGCTAATGTAAATGTATGTTATGCCACAGCCTTACTTGTGGGAGGAAATTATAACAGGAAGGAGGAATTTGTGGCCCATGGAGCATGGTACACATCCAAGCTATCTGGGAATTCGCAAATCTCCCAGTTCAGCAATTTAACACATTTATTGGAAGTGATAGAATATACTTTTATCTCAAAGGGACATGTATTAAATCTCATGATATGTTCTGGTTGTATTTCCTCACTATACCTCCATTCTTCCCTTTTGGAATGGTAATGTGTATTCGATTCCACTGTATGTTGGGAGTATGTAATTTGTCTTTTGATTTTATAGGGGCTTACAGTTAAGATATTTACCTGAGTCTCAGAAGAGACTTTGGACTGTAGACTTTTGAATAGTATTGAGACTGGTACTGACTATGGGGACTTTTAAGGTTGGACTAAATGCATTTTCATTTTATATGGTCATGAGCTTATGGGGGCCAGGGAGTGGATTGTGGTGGTTTGAATGAAAAGTTCCCCCATAGGCTCCAAGTATTTGGACATTTTGTCCCCAGTTGGCACTGTTTTGGGAGGTTTTAGGAGGTATGGCTATCCTGGAGGAAGCACGTCACTGGGGGCAGGCTTAGAGGGTTCTTAAGCTTCGCCGGATCTCCGGTTGCTCTCTTGCTTCCTGTGCCTGTTTGATGATGTGAGAGCTTGATTTCTGCTCCTCCTTCTCCAGCCACCTCCAGCCACCATGCCTCCCCACCATGACGGACTGTAATTCCCCTGGAACTGTAAGCTCAAATAAACTCTTCCTTTTAAAAGTTGTTTTGGTCACTGTTTTTATCACAGCAACCAAAAAGTGACTAATATACCAGGTACTCACAGCCTAGAAATCTCTTATATATTGGTGCCAAATCCACTTCCAATTCTTTTGTGTGTGTGTGTGGGGGGGGGGTTCCTAGTCTCCTCTGAGTCTGAAAACAAAGGACAGTTATTTTAGAGGAACACAGAAGGAGCTTGGATGTCTGGGCTACTGTCTCAGGGATGCTGGTAAGACTCCTACCTTGTAATAATGTGTGGAGGGTAAAATTGGGAGGTGGGTGTGCTGGTAGCTAGATATGTGTATCTGTCCTTTTTCACTGAGAGTATGAGAGTATTTGATGTGGTCTGTGAAAACATGTGCCACCACCCCACCTTTATTTTTGTGATAGGGCTTCAGTATGTAGCCCTGGTTGGCCTAGAACTCACTCTGTAGATTAGGCTGGCTTTGAATTCACAGAGATCCATCTGTCTCTGCCTCCTGAGTGTTGGATTAAAGGTGTGTGCTACACACACATCCCCTCACTTGAGTTTCTGAACTATTGAAACACATTTTTATGTTTTCTTGGATTATTACAAAGCAGTAGCTTTCTTCTTTATTAAAATCTGAAGGCCAAAATTCAGCTTACATTTCAGTTTTACAATTTTCTCAATTTTTGTAGAAAAAAATGCCAAAGACAGCACACATGCATTCAGTTAAGGAGATAATTTTGGCAATTATGGTTCACATAAATGGATAGGGCAATTAGGAAGGATGCCGAGGCAGATGATTTTAATGCTTGTGGCAAAATTGTGTCCAGGGAGTTAAAAATAAAAAAGCCCTGATTGTCTCCTGGCCTTCTGTTTTTTATTCCCTGCTTCTTGGAAACTAGTTTCATATCCTCTCATTCCCATCAAGTGTTCTGTTCTTCAATATGGCAAGTTTGAGTTTAGCAATGGCCTGGATTAGCAGAAGGCTAAGATGAGAGCCTGGAGTAGCTGCTGGGGCTATAGAGCACTGGTGTAAGTCAGGGAAGGGACCACGGTCCAGTCTCCTTCTTCTGGGTAGCCTGTGCCTTAAGAAGGGAGTAGGGCATCAGCAATGGAACAAGAAATGGAAGACACTGAGGACTTGAGATAAGGCTGTAAAATGCGCACATGGAAGATGCTCAACAGAAGTGGTTAATCTGTGAAAGCAGGAGGGAGACTGGCTGAGAAGAAAGGTTCACACAGGAGAGGGAGGGGATAAAAGGGAAGTGGGGCATGAAAAATGACTAAAGGTTATTATATAAATGTATGAGACTTTCAAGCAATGAAAATTTCAAAAAAGTAATATTTTAATTAAGGATAAGCCTGGTATAATAAATACCTACTTACAAACACTATTGCTGGTGTTTGGAATCATTTCTTAACAGGGACCCTTCAAAACCAGGGTATCTGGTTCAAGAGATATCACCGTTTTTTAAGTCTATTGATACCAGTGTCAAATTTTAATCTAAATCTAACCAGACATGTCTGCAGGTTCATGTTACATGGGGTCTTTGCACATATCAACATTTATTCTTGTTTTAAATTTTAAAAATATTTTTTGAGAATTTCATACATGAGTACAATTTTGTGATCTCTTCTTTATTGTGCATGCTGTGTTTAATTTATACACACACACACATATTGATACCAGTGTCAAATTTTAATCTAAATCTAACCAGACATGTCTGCAGGTTCATGTTACATGGGGTCTTTGCACATATCAACATTTATTCTTGTTTTAAATTTTAAAAATATTTTTTGAGAATTTCATACATGAGTACAATTTTGTGATCTCTTCTTTATTGTGCATGCTGTGTTTAATTTATACACACACACACACATATATATATATATTTATATATATATATGAGTTCATTTACTGTTGCTTATATGTATATCTGTTTGGGCTGATTAAATGGGATTAGATAACCTATCAGGGAGCTTGTCCCTGGAGTGAACCTATTCTCCTTTTCAGCCATTGATTACCTTTAGCTCTTCATCTAGAGGTTGGATCTTATGATGGGATCCACAATGGCATGCCCACTGGTATTGTCACTATGCAGGTCTTGTTTAGGCAACCGTATTGTGGTGATTTCATGGTGTGGCTTCCTTGCCATGCCTAGAAGACACTGTCTCACAGCTGGTGTCCTGGTCCTGTAGCTCTTATACATCCTTCCATCTCCTCTTCAGGGATCTTCCCTGAGCCTAAGGTGTAGGGGCTGCATTGTAGATGTATTAGTTGGGGCTTGGGGCTGGACAAACTATGGTAGGTCACTTATTCTCTGTATTTTGACCTGATGTGGATCCTGTAATAATGCATCTGTTGTGAAAGAAGGTTTTTGTTTGATTTTTAACATTTTATTTATTATTTTTATTTTATGGGTATGCATGTATTGCCTGCATGTAGGTAAGTGCACCCGTGTCATGCAATGCCTGCAGAGGACAGAAGAGGCTGTCAGATCCCCTGGAACTGGAGTTATAGACAGTTGTTAGCTTCCATGTGGGTGCTGGGATTTGAAACTGGGTCTTCTATAAGAACAGCCAATGTTCTTAACCTCTGAGCCATCTCTCCAGCCCCTGTTTTGTTTTTGTTTTTGGTGAGGGATGAGAGCTACAATAGGTTCTTCTCTGGGGTCTATGACCTTGCTAACCATAGGTATTTGGCTAGGTTTACAGTACCAGGCACAGATTCCCTCCTATTAAGTGAGCTTTAACTCCAAATAGACAGTTGTTGGTTACCTTCAAGATAAAAGTGCTATTATTGCATCATTTGTGAGATTTTACTGGGTCGATTTTATTGTGATTTATGGGCTTTACAGTTGGGTAAGACCATTTATTGCTTTTCTCCCTTGTCAGCTTGTATAGCACCTTCCTATACTTGGATAGCTGGCCCTCAGGAAGGGGGCTTCAAGGGAAGTTCCAGCTTGATTTCTCTAATCCTGTGTCTTAAGCATGTGGTGTACATAGCAATAGGGTCTTATCTTCAAGTTCCTAGGAGGCAATTAAGGGTAATGGTAATATACTATGTTTTTTTGGGTGTCTCTTGGAATCCCCCACCAACAACTTGAAGGGAGGTTTCCCATGCCTGGCACTGGGGTTTTTGTTAGACAGCTTAACTCTACACACATACACATACATATACACACATATATAATATATTTATTTTAAGTAACCTTTTGAAATAATGTTTTCCTATGACTTTTCCAGACATCCTTATTGTTAATTAATCTCTCATTCCTCCGTCTCCCTCTGTATTACTCTCCCTCCCCTTCACCTTTTCCTATTTCCTCCTTGATAGCACATGGGTCCTACTATCCTCCTGCTGGAACTCCTTCCCATCACGGTTCCTTTCTAATTTCCTGGCTTCAGTGATTACTTGAGGTTACATCCGAAGACTCAAAGCTAGGATCTACAAATAAGAGAGACCATGTGATGTTTGTCTTTCCAGCTCTGGGTTACCTCACTGAGAGGTTTTCCAGTTCTGTCCTTTTACCTACAGCAGTTACTTTTTTCATTATTCTTTATGAAACCTTGCTTAGTTGATAGCTGTTATATTATTTTCTTATTGTAATTCTAATTTATATTACTATTAGTGGAATCAAATCATTTTCAGTATGCCTATGGCCTGTATTTCCTCTTCTTTGTTTGCATTGATTAACTGATTGATTGAGTCTGTGTGTGTGTGTGTGTGTGTGTGTGTGTGTTTACATGACACTGTGTCCATGAAGATCAGCAGGCAACTTTGAGGCATTCTCTCTTTCTACTGTGTGGTCCAGGGATCAAACTCAGGTTGTCAGTCTGGGAAGCTGGTACTCTACCTTCTGAGTCATCTCACTAGCACTGTATTTCCACTTTTAAAACAATTGATTTAGGTCTTCTGTCCATATGTATATTAGAACCTTTAAATTTCAGATATGCTTTCCTGTGAGATATTAAATACACATAAAAAACCCCAGTAAAACATGTTTTTAACTCAGTGGCTTTTTCTCAGGTGTGTCTGAGCAAGCTCTTCCCTTTCCTTAATTTTTCAGATTTTTAATTCCTTGGGATACTAAAGACACTTTATGCCTTTATGCCTATGATTTTGTCACATTAAAAAGACTTCACTTTTTCAGGGGAGAGAATGAACACAGTGCTCAGCTACCAGAAATCGTGAGGTTGAATATGCCCCATTTGGGGAAATCGCAGGGCTCACCCCATCTGGAGTGCAATGGAAGAGCCTCACCCTGGGAAAACCATCTTCATGATTACGCTTTTTGTGAACCATCAGTTGAGTACCACGGTAGCTAACTCTAACCTGGTTTATAATCAGTCAATGGCTATATATCATGTCAGCACTGATAGGAGACACATATAAAGTGGTGCTTTTTCTTTTTTTTTTTTTTCCTGTAGGTGAAGAAAAAGTCCTGACCAAACAAAGATATTTTACTGGGACGTATTACAGTAAAATTTGGTAAGAGAGACAGGTTTTGTGACCAATTACATTCCCCTGGTCTTCAGAGACAGTAGAAATGAAATGGACATTTCAGAAAGTCTTCATCTGCTAAGGAGTACGTACTGAAACTTTTTTTCCACTTATTTTTTCTGGTAGGATCATTTTGAAGGTATGCTCTCATTTTAAAAGAAAGAAATATGTTCCTTGAGCAAGAGGTAAGTGTAAAAATGTCCTTGCCTTTCAATCTGAACCAAACTTAGGTTTTTTTTTTTTCTTTTTGATGGTTCAAGAGGTTGTTTTTACATATTTTAATCATTTGTTCAATTAGTATTTACTGAGCTTCATGATTAAGATATTAAGCTAGGAGCAAGGGGGCTCTAGAAACAAATTATATTCAGCTGTTAACAGGAATGAGGTGGCATGTTACTAAACTGTCGCAATCCAAAGTGGAATTGAGAAATGACACAAGAGACACTCGGTGCACATGCTTAGGGTGCTCAGAGGAGGAGAGGGCATGCAAATAGTCTGAATCAGGCTTAGGACATGCTGTTCTGCATTCCTGTTCCCTCTGCTTGTACAGACAGGGCAGCTGACTGCTGGAATGGCACTTACTGGGAATGAAGTCCGGGTCTGCCTTTGTATAGGGTCCTCTCAGTTGCTGTGTGTTTTTGCTAGGTACTT